GTATTTTTAAATTAATAATTCATTTGTACAATACAATTATTCATCTGTAGAATACATAAAAATTAATTACAATTGACCCGGAGGCACACGTTCTGAACAGCAAAAACTTTTTACTACTGATATACCGAATAAACATATAGTTACGGGACAAGTAGTATGTGACCTGCCAGTGCACTTGAGATTATTGACGAAAAAGATATAAGGTACCTGCATTGTATTAGAGTTCACAGGGAGAGTGCGAAAGCTCTCGAGCAATAGCCTAATTATGACAGGGCACTTGTTTTTGCAGCACAATACGTGACTGCCAACTAAAATGCCCTTGGTCACGTTTTGAGTAATAATTAAACAATGTGCTCAGAGTATAATTGTAATCATGATTGCTCGGTGGTCTCCCTTTGACGACTTACAGTTTACTAGAGAGATGATGAAGCCTTTTTATTTTTTTTATTCTTTCGGGTCACTCGACAACTGACGGAGAACGCTGAATACTAACAGGTCGGTGTCGTTTTAGTTTGACTTGAGCACTTTTGTTGTAATATTCTTTTTGGAAAAGCCAGAACAAAAGGCATCTAAAACTCAAAGGGAAGTTTTTATTATATATTTTTTTATTCATTATTTCTCCTATTAGTTATTATACATTCACACCGAATTTTGTGTACTGTAAGTATTAAGATTTTACAAAAATGCGCCTTATATATTTTCACCTGAGTTAAGACGGATAATATCATGAAATATTTATCTAGCAATAATTGTCGCACAAGTAAACTTGAGTGTTTCCAAATAGTTTCATGAATAGGAATCGTGGAAACTTCCCTTCAGGAAAAGTCTTTTATATCACAGCCGATCTGTATTTGTTTTTTGTCTTCTCAGTCAAAGCCATAATTAGGATCTTGTCCTAGGGGAGGACAATCATAAGATCATTTTGAACAACCCGCTACAAGTTGAAAAAATTGTATCTTTATGGTTCAATGATTTTGTCTCAGACGAGAATCATATTTTCTTTTATACTAATTGTATTTTTATGTTTTCATAAGAGAAAGTTAAATATCATACATATAAATATATTTATAGATATAATAATTACGATTAGGTTGTAAAAATAATAATTACTTAACTTTTCAACTTTTTAATTTAATTTTTATTTTTATTGATATTTTCTACAAAATATATTACTAGGGTTTTCTCCAATAAATAACATCAGTAATAAATAAATATTAATTTTCATTTTTCATTTTTATATTATCTTCTTAAATAATTTACAAGTATTTTTTTAATTATTATAATTGAAAAAGGAACTTGAAAATATGAAGTGCTAGTTGTGATTAAATGCGATGGGATTAGGAGGATAGATTTCCCTATTGACAAATCCTTTTTGACATTTCTGTCAAATTTTCAATATACAGTGTGATATATTTATCGTAAATTTCTCCTAAAATAATAATGGTTTTGATTTTGTTTAATATTATTTATTTCTCAATTTTTAAGTCGTTAAATACTTTTTATATCCACCTTTGAGCCCTTATAAGTATATGAAATTTTTTTTTTTTTTAATGGTAACATATATATTTAACTAAATATTTAGTTAGTTAATTAACTAACTAAATAATTTATTTAATGACCCTACTAAGAAATTAAGTGATTGATAACAATTTTTTTAATCAGTAGTTCATGAGTTATGAATATTTTTATACCTGGATGAAAAGAGTAACGTGGCAAAGTCATGAGTAATTATAATAATAATCACACCTCGTCTTCAGTCTACGTTTAAGTCGAACATTTAAGGTACGAAGCCGTCGTTGTAAAAGAAGAAATAACATGAAGTTACACACCAAAGTATGTTTACACCTTTTACCAAATATTTTTTTAAGGAAAAAAGATGATAGTTGAAAATGATTTGAATTCACTACAACTTGTATTAAAATTGAAAAGTGTGCTAGCTCAAAATTACAAATACTATAATTGTTAATATATCAAAAAAAAAAAAATCAAGTCAAAATTATTGACTGGTAATACTGAAAATCTACCTTGACTAATATTTAACCATCGTAGTACGTTGTCTATTTCAAACAAAAGCAAAAGCCACACGCATACTATCACAATTGTGCATCTAAATAGACGTTTTGTACGGACAAACGTGACTTGCGCTCGATTTTATGCAGCCCACATGAAGTATATACGAAAGAAGGGTCTTTAATATGGTGTGATTTTGACACGTCGTTTTCCATTGCATTGTTTGGCGGACACACAGTCGGTGGATAAAAATCCGTTCACCAAAAAATAAACATTCGCGCTCCTGATCAAATAAGATTTATCGATTTTTCTTTCTTACTTTAAAAGCTCACATAATTATAAGTTTTTCATTTTTAATAATTAAAAAAAATTAACTGAGAAACTTAAAATTTATGAAAACTATTTCTTACCTAACCATATGCAATACAATGTGCATAAAATCACAAATCGTTAGTTGAAGACGGTTCTTTGTAAATTCGAAAAAATATTTCTCATCAATTCTAATGGGGAAAATCATAAAAAAAGGGCTATTTTAGAAACCCCAACATTTTGTTATTTTTTTACATTTATAAACTTTTTTGAAAATAAATGAATTAAAGAAATATTTTTATAAAAATACTTTAGATGTTTTTCTTCAATTTTTTTTGAAAATTCGATTCTTTATCGTCTTAGAAGGGGAAATTCAATATTTGAAAATAAATGAATTAAAGAAATATTTTTATAAAAATACTTTAGATGTTTTTCTTCAATTTTTTTTGAAAATTCGATTCTTTATCGTCTTAGAAGGGGAAATTCAATATATTAATAGTTGCATAGAAAGTTAACTTTTAAAAATGTTTCGAAAAACGTGAATCCTTTAAATTTATCTTAAATTAAATGAAATGTATGTAATTTATTATATTTTGAACAAAAAATTAACCTTTGAACTGTCTTCCTGGTATAAATGGCTGTCTTAGTTGAAAAGTATACAATTTTATTAATAAAAATATACATTGAAAATTTTCAATTTCAACTTTTTACTGCTATGACTTATGAAAAAATGTGAATGTAAGACAATTTTTTTCGTGGAATGGCTTAAATATATAGTTTTTTTTTGGAAAATGTTTGAAAAAGAGGATTTTTATTTCAATAATCTTTCTTAACTTTTGAAAAGGTCCCGGAAAATTGCATCCTTTAAATTTATTTTAAATTAAAAATAATATAATACACAATGTTCCACGATGTCTATATATTTTCATTTGAAAAAACAAAGTTCACACTCTTACAATGCATAAGGGATGAACTTAAAAAGTGTTGTATAGCTCATAATTTGAGAAAAATATATAACTAAAAGTAACTAAAAACATATTCAAACTTATTTATATTTCACATGTATTTGAGTGATTTATAATAGACGGATCTTCTTCCTCGACTAGACTGTACTGGTTGGATTTTTTTAATTTACTGTTTGTTTTTTGATTTTATTTCAAACAATTAAAGTTTTATCTCAATAAAATACATGTCTACGTTTATTACCTACTAGACCTTATAATCGGTGATTTTTAAAAATTATAATCAAGTAGTGAAGTCAGGTTTTGTTTCCAGTGAGCTTCATGGAAAAAAAAACAAAATATTTTACTTTAGTAACTTGATCTATAGAATTTGAAAACTTGTTTTATTTATAATTTTGCTGTGATAAAAGTATAGTACTTCCGTCCGGAACCAATGTGGTTGTATAGGAAGGAACCCCGTGTTTCCTGCGATCACTAAGTACAAACACACATCAATGCAATATGAGAGCCCTGCTAACATTTCTATTGTTTGGCGGCACGTCTCTTCTACGTATACACTCGCTCAGCCCCTTCTTTACAACGTGTCCTGTCGACTTATCTCCACTTGGCATCTAAAACACGTACGGTTTTTAATTGATCTCCCACCCGGCTGCTGGCGTAATATTTTTTTTTATTATACGACTTTCATTTATTTTTTATGCAAAGCAAACAAAAGTATTTTTCCGTTTCAAAGAAAAATCGTTCTGCATACCATTTATTTTTTATTTTTTCAAAATGAAACTCTAATTTGGGTGCAATTAAATTATAATTTTACCAAAACTAATAGAGCGGTTTTTATTTAGCATATTTATAATAGAGCCTGAACAATTTTCTCTCAAATTTCCAAAACGTTAAGGTAAAATTAATATTTGTTATTAGAAAATTTTAAATGTAAATTTTTGCAAGTTATTTAGATATTGCTAAAAAGATTTGAATAATTAATTTTTTTCTAAAAAACTACTTGGCCTACCCCAAGTAGTTGGGATTAAGGCGAGGATGAAGGAGAAGAAAAATTTTTTTCTAGGAAAATAAATACTATTTATTTATTATTGGTTAGTGCAAAAGCCAAAGTCACCGAATTTTTATATATATATTTTTTCTATGTGTAGTAAAATGAATTCATATATTTTGGCATTGCAAACACTGGCGAGTTAAAAAAAAATTAAAATTCAAGTTAGTTTTACTGTTTAACTTGGTTTTTTGTTCACTTACTTAACTGGTAATTTAACGTGAACCCTTGGTCGTGTTATTTTATCATAATAAATAACGTTGATTTTTTTTAATAAGTTAAGTTAGTGTTCAATAATTGAGATTTATAGACTATTTAATATTAAACTAATATGAATAGATTATTTTTTTGAAAAATTTAAAATAAATAATATATTATTTGTCTATGAATTGAACAACAATTACAAATATTTGGGATTTATATTTCTTTTACAAAACAAAAAAATCTACCTCTTTTTACGGACAGCAAAAATTTCTACTAGATAATTGAAGTTAAAAAGTTATATTTTTTATGTAACTGTTATTTTAACTGAGTTTATTGTTAAAATTCAGCAACTTATAACATATAAATTATAACTGAACTTGTTTTTTTTTTTTTTACTAACAGCTTCACAAGTTATAAAAAATGAATAATTCATTTGGAATTGTCTTTTGGTACACCCAGAGAAAAACCTCGATCTATATAATAAATTCATTGTTCAATTTGATAAATATATCATTACTATTGAATCAATGATATATTTATCAATATGATATTTTTTTTTCTTGTCTTGAACAATAATTATTTATAAGAATAGTTATTTTGTTCGTATTAATAAAACATTATCATAAACCCTTGATAAAATTTCTCTTTCAATTTTGATTGAGGTTTTTCTTTGGGTGTATATTTAATATAAATATAAAAATGTTACAAAGAAAGTTAAATTTGTTTCATCGCCTCCGACAGTCAAAACTAATATGATAATTGCTTAAAATTTATTATAGTATCTTGTACAGAATGTATGTTAAATTAATATCATTATAGGAGACTTAATAATATTTTAAGCCCTTTTATGGAGTTTAAAATGAGTTAAAAATCTATTAAGTTGATTTCTATATCTTCAGGATGCCAGTATAGCTATGGGGGGTCATGAGTCCGGACTCCCTATAGACATAAAATCATAGAAGTGGGGGTAGTTTTAGTTGTTAGAGAGGTGGGCATGAACTTATTGTAGGTCCATTGTGCGCACATCCTACCGAATTCGGTTTTTTCACATAAACGTTTCCATCGAATTATTGTTACCATTAATTGAATACCTAACACTGTGTATGTTAAAAGAGTTCTGTTATTCTATTTTGGTGTTATTTTAGGTTTAGATCTTAATGTGGTTAGAGTATCACATTCACACATAATATGAAATTAATTTTCTTCTTTTGATCTATACTTTTTGTACAGTGGTGATTCTGTCACTTTATTGTGAAATGATATTCAGTAAGTTCAGTCAGAGTGCTTATTTGATATCTAGTCATAGATATCATCTTATTTTAATCTAGCACTTACGTTTCCGGATTTCATAGAACCATCTGTATAGATTACAAACCCGATTTTTCTAATCAGGAGGGTTTATATTTCATTCTCTATGTGCACCCAAAGAAAAACCTCAATCAAAATTGAAACAGAAATTTTATCAAGGGTTTATGATAATGTTTTATTAATACGAACAAAATAACTATTCTTATAAATAATTATTGTTCAAGACAAGAAAAAAAAATATCATATTGATAAATATATCATTGATTCAATAGTAATGATATATTTATCAAATTGAACAATGAATTTATTATATAGATCGAGGTTTTTCTCTGGGTGTGTTAAGATCTTAACATTGTATGGGATATTATTTTGGAGAACAGGTTTGTTACAATACGAAATATGTCCCAGTATACTCTGGTTTATCTCTTTTTGTATTTTACCATGTTCTGTGGTGTAGAGCATCGTGGTAAGCATCTGGGCTATCTATAGCTCAGATATCTAAGTTGTATTTGTAGCTTCAACATGAACTTTAACCTCTAAATAAAAAGAGGGTAGTCCAATTAGTGCGCTTCCAATGACACTGTTGTTATGGTTCGTATCATCTCGGTAATGGCCTATAGCAGCCATTCTTTGAATGCATTTAAATTTTTTCCTCATTTTAATAAAAGTTGTTCTGGTTTATCAGACCAAGGCACTATACAAAATCAGGTTTATCACTGAAGTGTATAGTTAATACATAACTCTTGGTTTAAGATTTTAGGTTTTTTACAGAGTTCTGCTGCATGTCCACAATGTATCCATGGCTTTTTTTACTTTTATCTCAATATGTGATTCTCATCTTAGCTTACTTTTTGGGATAATACCCATGTATTCCAAGAATTAAAGCCAATATCTTGTCAATTCAGAATAAACGCGCCAAGACTGTTAAGCCCTGTTCTTCTTCTGATGAACATAACTAACTCTGATTTGTTTAGATTGACAGCTAGGCTATACATATTACACCACATGTTTATAGCGTTCAGTCTCTGCTATCCAAGTGAATAATGTGTGTGGGAATTTACCCATCACTACTATAACTAAGTCATGTTCATAGGTTTGTGTATAAAGATATTTGTATTACTCTTTAATAAGTGAATTTAAAATTAAACACCATAGCAAGGAAGATAGAACCCCTCCTCCTTGTGAACACTCTTGTTTAAAACCGTAATTTATTCAATAAGCCTTTATATTGGCTTTACACATTAATATATATATACATAATTCTTACAAGAATTTATAGAATTGAGAATTATTTGGTGTCCAGTAAGTTAAACTATTACCCTACCCGTAAACTTAACTCCCCCAATGCGATTAAATAAAACGGTCTGCCTCCTTGTATTTCACCCTGCGGCTTCGGACCCCTTTAGCCAATACATTATACATGCTTATTAATCGACGTGAACGGAATACGGTTATATAAAAAAACTACATTATTGAATCTGAACCACAAATAACGCCAATTTGTCTCTGAGTATTTGAATTTAGTAGCACCGAATTCCTTTTATGAGTGCCTAATTACGAGTCCATTGACTACACGAATAGATACTACTCATGTAAAATCAAGAAAAAAGCACTTTGTCCCGCCTTAATAATATTCTCAAGCAAACGGGTACCACACATAATTGGTAAATGACGTCGGCTTATTAACAACTGTTCCACTATCAAGTATGAATTTATAAATTTACGATTTTAATAAACACAATTTAGGTTGTTTTTAAATATTCAAATAGTTAAGATAATTTTTGCGGTTAAAATAAAAATTCAAACAGCAAATCTCTAATACATACGAAATATCTTAATTACTATAAAAATATAATTTTATTCAAACCTCCATCACAACTGCATGATCTGTCGTCAAATTCTTGAATTTTATTTAATCGTCAATTAATGTTTAACGATGTCCTGCAACACAACAAAAACAATAGGAAATTAGTTTGTGTTTCATACAAACGTCTTGAATTTACAGTCTTTAAAATAATAAATCTTTGTCATTCAACTCGTATGTCGATCATGTCATGCGAATATTTCTTTTCAAAATGGAAAAGTAAATGATACTCAGAAGTATTCTTTGGTTACCGAGTAATTTAAATTAATGATACCAACAATGTTATCTACTCGGCAAAATTAAACAAGTTTTACTTGAGATATGTGGACGAACGTGCCGCATTCACGACGTGCAGCATATCCGGAACATTCACACTTATAATGCATAATAGTAATGATATGTATGAGCTGTTGGATAAATGTTTGTTGTAAGGTACAATAGTCAAAGACGATGGCGGTGACGGTAGGTAAGACATAATACGCCGGATGCGTGTGGTCAGTTTGACAAGGAGACGTAGTGGTGACAGTGTTCGGTACGCACCTGAGAAAACATTGACGGAGCCTGTCTCCACACGGGAGTCATGTCCATTTTGGATCCATCAACCACTTTGTTACATTCTGCATCATCCCACGAACGAATATTATTATGATTGTAATATAAAGTATCGAGTGTTGATTGTGGTTGCAGGCCCATGCGGTCAAAATCCGCTTTATATTATTATTATTATTTTTCGTAGTGTGCGTTTTTGCACGTTTTTTTTTTTTGTACATTAAATTATCATTATTATATAAGAAAATAATACCCGATTTATTTGTACAAGAGACTACCAGTTTATTATGCGGTTCCATTCAGCATTACCTTGGCGTTATGTGTTCTATATATTTTAGTGCATGTGACGAGACTCAAAATACGTCACCTGCAGCACTACGCCAGAGGATTTATCCGGATTATTTCAAGTGTAAATTCATACAATATATAACATAAATACCACATTTGAGGATTTTATTTTTCTGTAAATAAGTCTGAACGAGTAAAATAATAAATATGTTCTCACACTTTTATATGCGCTGCTCAATCATTTTATTGTGTAACATGTTGGGTACCGAGTTTTCATCGTTTTTTAGAGTCTTATCTAAAAATGAACTCCAATTCTTCATATTGTACACTTGGTAACTAAAATATTTTAATACTCTTTTTTCTATCTTTTCAAATTTAAATCTTTGTTTTTTTTTGTATATTAGTTTAAATATACTAAAAAGTTTCGTGAATTTTCAAAAATGAAAGATATTTGATTTTTTGAATAAATAACAGCCAATTTTTTTTNATGAAAGATATTTGATTTTTTGAATAAATAACAGCCAATTTTTTTTTTTTTTTGATATTCATTTGTTACAATAAAAATTTATAACATTATTCTTAAAACAACAAACTCAAATATTTAGAAAATAGCAAGGAAAAATATGAGTTCAAAAAACATGTACTTATCTATTTGTGTTCAAATTTTGAGCTCATTATTCTGTTAAGGATTTTCATGAATTTCGTTAACACATTAAAAACTTTACTGGTGTATATTAGTGTTATATCTTTCAAAATAAAAATAATTACATAATGAAGATGCGAATTTTATCATTTGGAATGGGTAGCCAAAATATTCCTATGTATATGCCTTCAGAATGAAACTTTAGTTAAACCACCGAGAAACTAAGAATATATACTTAATTACTTAATATATACTTGTAATACAGAACAAATTTCTTTGCAACATAAAATTTAATGCGATTAGTATTTTAATTATTCATAATTTTTTACTTTATTTAAATATTATTATCTTCTGGTACAACGTATGGTACAAATTTTGAAGGACGTTTTTTTCCAAATGTAAAATTTTTTTGACAACATTTAAAGCACTTGGATACATTATACGATCCAGGTCCTGGGGTCATATGGATATTGTCCAACAACAAAAAATTTAAATGTTTTCCCATTGTTTTAGGTGGATTATATTCTTTGTATTTGTCTAAGTTCACGGCATTATAAGCTGCTGGGCCTGGACCTTCGATGCCTTTATCCTTTACTCCGTATTTAGTTCTCGATTTTCTTAAAATAATTTTAAAGAATAATTACATTTTTTTTTTCGATACAAATAATTCATAGAATTGACGATTAATTACTATCAAAAATTAAACTGTTTAATTTTGAATTGGAAAAACGTAAAACGTTTTTATATTTATCAATTATTTAGTCTATGAAATTCCAATTGAACTTTTAGGAAAAACGCCAAAAAAAAAGTTATATCCAAATTTCAACAATATTAGATTCCCCGCACGAAAAAATAGTAAAATTAAATGAAGAGTGAATGTGTCAAACGTTCTATGTGCCAAAAAAGTGAAAAATTGTTTTATTTCTGATTTATGTTCTATGTACCAAAGGCCACAATCTTGTATGTGTTTCAAATGTCAATTAAATTTTTACTTGTACAAAATTGCATTCATAGATGGTGTTCATTATGTGAGACATGCCCATGTTACCATTGTTTTTTGTGTTTTCTGAACAAATATGTTTTTGGCATATGAACGTTTGACACATTCACTCTTCAAATATTAAATTTTTTTATAAAAGAAGCGTTGTAGTTGCGTAGATTTAACAGCTTTAAATAATATGCTCTGTTTAGCATGTTATGAGTATAAGCGCATCTAGATCAACATTTCTGGGAGTTCAAAAGAGAAGTATTATTTACAGCCCCATGAGGGGCTTCGCTTATTTACCTCTCTATGTTAGTATCTCTAACATAGGTATGTTAAAAAAGAAAAAAATTACAATTATAATGCAATACGTTGATTATTGTTACCAGTATACGTATAGAATTACATTTAAATATCTATGATTATCCACACCCAAAGAAAAACCTCAATCAATTTTGATAGAGAAATTTTATCAAGGGTTTATGATAATGTTTTATTAATACGAACAAAATAATTATTCTTATGAATAATTATTGTTCAAGATAAGAAAAAAAATCATCATATTGATAAATATATCATAGATTCAATAGTAATGATATATTTATCAAATTGAATAATGAATTTATTATATAGATCGAGGTTTTTCTCTGGGTGCAGAAACTTTTTTTGAATAGTTCTAAAAATACAAATTTGACAAAAGTGAAATTAAAAAATTATAACATCAATTATATAAATACTTGTACGACCAAACTAAAATATGCGCTCTAATTTTTGATGGTGCTATAATTTGGGTTAGGAGGTGCTAAAATCTCACTAGCACTCCCCCTAGTTGCACCTATATTTTTTAGTCTATTATTACTTTCCACTTAAAAATTAAAAGTGAAGTCAGCAAAAATAAACTGTGATTTTGTCATCCACTTTATGATAAATAAGCTTAATTATATATTTGATAACCAAAGAGCTCTACGTAAATCAAAAAATTATGTAAACTTACATTGTAAATCCTTCAGTTCTACTTTGTATTGACATTTGTTTAGTATGTTTTTGTAAATTATATGAATTGGGTGGTGGAACTTTGTCTTTTTTGCTTTCTCTATAATGAAACAAAAATATAGGTGTTGGTGCTCGTTTCAAGTTTGGATAGCATGGAAAATATGCAGCGGGTCCTGGACTTTTTTGTACATCTCCTATAATTAATTATTCGATACAGTTTAATATAACAATTACATTTCAAATTTAAAAAAAATGGTATAATATAACAATGGTTAAATTTTATAATCATAAAATGACTTAATATCTTTTCTAAAGAAACGCATACTTTTTCTTTTAATTTTTTTAAGCGGAATCAAAAAATTAGCATACTATAAATTTTGTGTTAACCATCAGGTTGGTTTACACTAATCAATTTTGAAGAGTGGACTGATGTATCAGTGTTGGAGAATTACTAAGTACAGTGGTTTCCCGCTTGCCTTCTGTATTAGGCGACATAATGTTTTCCGCCGTTAAAATTAAATTGTGGTAACCCATCTGACAACTAACAGCAATAGGCGTAGCTTAACTTAAGGGATTTAGCAGTATTTTAAGTGCCCACTGTGCTCAGGGCCACATTTAGTGGGTGGTATTGGTTGCAATTATCCCCGGTGGCACTAAAATATGAAACAATATAAATTATAGAGTTGAAGACCAGTTTTTAACATGAGCAAAATAAAAATACCATTGTGAGCAAGAGAGTACTCTTTACACAATTAAGTTAGCACAATTCTTAAATATGACTCTTACACACTACGCTCCTACTATATGTCATATTTTATACTAGTATACTATTTTTATAAATGAAAATATAATAATCTTAAATTATTTTTAATAACAATACAAATTAGACACTATTTTTTTAGCTTCGATGCGAAGCTGAGAAGGTATTGGTTTTACTATGATGTATGTTTTTTTTGTGTTTGTTACCAATTTTTCTCAGCTCTCGCCGAATCGATCTCAAAAAAATTACAAATTTAAAAATCGCTAATTTTCGACATTTTTTCAATTTTTTTACTTAAAACTGCCATAATTTTTTTAAAAATAATCAAATCAATATAATTTTGTTTTTATAGATCCATGATGTCTTTACTTTTCTTAATCAGGATATATAAAGTATATCAGATGATGTAGCTTTTGGAATAATCCACCAATTTTTTAAAGTTAAACACTATCTACAGATTTGCATAGAACTGGATTCAACTATGCCACGTCTCCACTGTGCCGCGACCCCCCTGTGCTGGGTTTTTTTATTTCATATTTGATAAGTAGTCTTTTAAATTAAAATAAAAAAATAAATATTAAAAATTGCTCACATGTGACTAATTATTAAAAATATTAATTTAAAATTAAAAAAATATTTAACTCAAAAAGCCACAAAAGAATTACCAAAAAAAAAAAATTGTGTATACGTATTTTGAGAATAATGATAAACACTGACATGTCACTATTTTTAGTTTTAAATTAATATTTTTAATATAACTTTATTTTTAAACAAATTAAAGTAATTTTGTGTTCTCATACAAAAATTATTAAATAGAATTGAAAGAATAAATGAATTATGTTCATCGCACATTTTTTCTTCTTATTGAGAGGGATCGTCAGGCATAGACTAGGAGAACAAAGGCCCTGAGGGACACAGTTGTAATGATCGTAAATTTAAGAAATTAAAATTCTTAACTTTATAGAAATCCAAACAAATCAAATTTCATTGTTTTAAAGTGGGCCACAAATGCATTGCACCCTTGTCTCGTCATAGTTCGGTTTTGGGCTTAGTATTTTATTTATATTCTTTATAAGAACATAATAAATAACTATTTATTTAATATTATTAAGGTTTTAACAGTTGTATATATGCTAATAATATCAAAACTACAAAAAATAATTTACTTGGGTAGTATTTTTTTGCTATACTGATTGGTTTTATTCTTTCTAGACCATAACGAGTAACATTATTCAATTTATAAATAGGTCCAGGGCTTTTAAAATTATTAAATTCTTGACATTTAGATCTAATAGAAAATGCTGGCGATTGCCAAAGAGAAGGATCAGTTTTTTTAGGCATTCCAATTGTACTTTTCAACTTATAGGTCATTGGACCTGGACCTACAAAATAATATAATAATTTTTTTTTCAATAATTAAATGTATTTTTAATTAAATTTCAAATCTTTTAAAATTTTAATAAGAAACATTATAAATTAAACCGTTAGTGCAAAAAGACGCTAAGTTCATTAAGATAGTGGAATATTACAAAACGAAACAAATACAAATATAGGGATTAGTTAATCAAGTGTAATTTACCTCGTTAGGTAAATTAGAACTTATAATGTTTATTTTCAAATTGCAATATATATTTATTTAAAATACATAAATTAAAATTAAATAAACAAATTATAGTGACAAAAAAAAAAAAAAGAGTAATATATATTTGCATAAAAATTCACCTTCGTCAATTTTTGTATTTTTCAAGGATTTCACATTCATATTTCTATAATAACTTAGTTTTAATCTCTAGTAATAATTCTTAAAGTATATATATACATATTCATTATAAAAAAGTTGTAACATACATTACATTTAAATGTCTTTATAAAACTAATTCTTTGTCATAGTTACAAGGTTTAATTGTACATTAACTAAATGATAAATGGAGATTTTTATTTATTACTTAATTATAAATGTTTTATTTTAAATTATATTAAAAGTGTAACTTAGTAAATAAAATAATTAATTTAAAAAAAATAAATACAATTCTAACTAAATAGAAAATTAATATTGGCCAAATTTCAATTTTGAATGATTTTATTAAGTAATCCGAAATTTTTAATGTAAATATTTTTTAGTGTTACTTATTTAATGCAATAAAAATGGTTTAACAATGTTAATAATATGTTGCTGATAATATAAAATATCAGAAAATATTGATCTTCTTTTATTAGTGTTAATAATATATCTGTCTACATATTGATGAACACTCTAGAAGATAGTGAATTAAAAATAATCATTAATAGGTCAACTAAATTAATAATACATTTTAATAAATTGGAAACATTAAAATTAAAAATACTGAATATATAATTAATATCATTATAATAGCCAAGAAGTCATATCTGTAATAAATAAATAATAGATAACTTGTAGTTCTATAATTTCATTTTATTAAATTTCATAAATTTTTATGGTAAAGCTTAAGCTGAGTTAATATTAATTAAGGCTAGGTAAGTAATTTTAAACGTTAAAATGAAGTTATATTTAATAAATTAAAATTGACAAAAAGTTTTTATATAACTTAACTAGAGATTTGCGCTTCAGAGTGTATTCGACAACTAAAAAGCTGAATATCTAATGGATAGTCTTTTCCTAAGGGTCAACAATGTTATTTGTCAGATAAAAAACTTAAGTTAATAGAGTACCAGTAAATTTGCAAATATATCATATATTCATAAGGTAATAAAATTTTGTTTGAGTTAATTTTTTTTATACAATATAACACATGATTTTTGAAAGATAAAAAATGGATAGAATAATTTTATATTTTCTAGTGATGTTTGAACTTTAGAATTTTCAAATAGGACTAAACCAAACTTGAGGTATTCAGTTCAGTTCAAACATAAATCTAATTATCATGCTTATAAAACTATTGCTGTTTTATAAAATTGGAAGTTTTTTTTTTGTAATAAATTATAAAATTAAATTTTGATAAAAAATATATATTATAAAATAATTAAAGGTGAACTTTTATTTCAATTAGTTATCTTAATATTTATGTTACATCATTGATGTAATAAAAAAAATCACTTAACAAGACTTCTAATAGAGCATATATAAAATAGATAGAAAAAATTAAGCATAAATTTGTTTAAGAAAATGTTTTCTACAATTAGGGAAAAATGATAAAAATGATGAGGCACGAGGATAGCTTATTTAAATTAAGAACATTTAAAAGTCCCAAATTAAAATTAAATATTTTTATAAAATAAAAATATATTAAGACTATAAAAAGACAGATAAATAATACAAATAATTAGGTTATAACTTATACAAAATTTGTATCAATGAAGAAATTAGGATTAAATAATCAAGCTAACAATAGTGATCAAGGTAAAAAAGAGGTATCCATTTTTTAAAAACAAAAAATTTAACATTAAAAATATTCTTTGTAAATAAACACCAAGTAATTATTCTAATGATTTATCAGATATTTCATAGTTAGAGTCACATATTGTTGGCATAAATTCAGTTCTGAAAGTAAAATAAATATTTTTAATTTTTAATAATTGTATTTATAAAATATACACATACTTGGGTTTTTTAAATGTCTGATTTAGAACAATATCTGATGGTTCCTCTTCAATAGATTCATGTTTCTAAAATTGATTAAAATATTTGAGTTTTAGTAGCAAGGAACAATAATGAATTGTTATAATATCATTAGTAAAAATACTATTTATATTTAATGATATTACAAGGGCCCAGAATATGCATTAATAAATTTTGTTTAGGCCACATTGATAACAACATATTAGTTCTAAAGTCAATTAATTATAATTTGTATTGGCTCATTGCTGTTTAGAATAACTTAACAAAATGTATAAATGCATATAATTCTGTGCGTTAGATATTACTATACTAAAATGATATTTAAAGCATTAGTATCTTTTTTTTTATTACTAGATCTATGACTCAATATATATTTTTAGCACAACCCTATTCATATGCCAGTAAAATATAAGTTCGATTTATAAAGTCTAGATTTCAAATCTGCAAAATTATTTTATATAATTCACTCCTGATAGCATAAATATGCATATTTTCGTTATTTTCTACAATTTGTAATATCTTATAAAATTTCTGTTCTTTAATCTTGTTTACAAGTTGGTTTAAAGATATTAGATTTTACAAGATATATAACAAAAAATATTCTCGATGAATCAACTTTAAGAAAAAATTATGTCGACAATATTTATCAAAAACAATAGAAAAAATATAATCAAAGATTTTTAATCACAAAATTTGGGTCTTAATCGATGAAACTATGGTACCGTTGATTGTTATATAGCTAATATCGTTGTATGTATACTTGTTTTTGAAAAAAATCATGTATTTCATGTTTCTATAAGATAGTAATTAATTCTTTAGCAGAAGAGTATAAAACTAAACGAATAAAAAAAATGTATAATACATATTGTGAGATAAAACAAATAATTCAATAAAATTTTAATATACTAGTGGAATTTAAAAATACTGCCATTGTAAAATTACAAATATACAAATTATTAAATTATTAAATAGGGGGGTTAATTTAAAATATTTTATATTAGTTTGGAAATAATTTGTACAAATAGTGTTTTTAATTTAAGGTTGCTCGATTTCTAGAAACTAAAAAAATGTTTCTTGCTATGCTTAAAATAATGTGCTTAACCTTATTTTTATCTATTAATTAATGTCAACTACTTGTTTGAGATTAAAAATAAATTGAATTAATATTCACAATATGACTAATAATACAGTAATTCTTATAGACCATTTTAATTTTTAGCATTATTAATAACAATTTTAGGCATCATCTGTTAAGGTTTGAATCATATTATTTGTTCTATTTATGAAAATGCAAACAAACATATGATTAATATTAACATTTTTATTATATAATTTTAATTTTTCAGCTTTTAGAGTTCAAAATTTATTCACTAATTTTTAATCAATACTTCTCTTTTTATACAAAATATTTTTTTTTAAATAAATCTACAAGAAATACAATTAGTAGACTAAATTACTTACTGTAGAATGTCTATTTGTACACACAGCTTCTGAACATTTACAATACTTTGAACAAGACATGCTTTTTTTATAACACATGCAAATGTTTTTTAAACAATTTTTTATACATAGGCACATTGGATGTCCTTCTGCATTCCTTTTAAAGTTCATACGATTTAATCTTTCATCAGACTTTTCAAACATTCGACTCTAAAATAATTAAAAAATTAATAATTAAATTAATGCTGCACAAATAATGAGTTACCTCTCTTTTTAGTTTATCTAAACGTCTTCTTAAAGGAGTGCTTTCAATATCATTTTCTTTTGAATCATCAGTAATTAAATTAATCTATTATAAAAAAATGTTTACATATATTTATTTACTTATAATTTTACAATCATCATGCAAAAAGACCATATTTAAATAGAAAATGGATAAGTTATGAAAAATAACAATTTTTTTTTAATTTCAATAAATAAACAAGATAATTTTTATATAACTTAAAAATAAAAAGTCCAGGAGTTGAGATAAATGTATATCAACAATTATTTCTATAAAAATTAAAAAATAAAATTCATAAAATACAGTTTTATAAGTTTGTTGAACAGAAGAAAATAAATTACTTAGTACAAGAGATAATTAAATTTTTAGATTTTTTTGTACACATGAAATATATAATTAATTATTTCAACTATAAAAATCTATTCAATCAATTTTTGCATGATAACCAAACTACAATAATGTTAAAATATTTTTAGTAGAGAATTTAAAATGTAATTACTGGTGTAATAGGAGATTTTATCACATTAGATTTTACACTATTTGAACTACTATTCACTAAAGATTGTAAATCACTAATTAATTTATCTTTTTGACTTAATTCTTCTCTTAATTGTTCAAATTTGCTAAGTTGTTCATCATAAATTCTTAAACGCTCACACATATCATTATTGGTTCCTACAGTGGACAATGATTTTTCTTTTTCATTGAGTTGTCTTAATAATACTAATATCTAAAAATAATAAATAAAATATTTAAATAATTGATGAATAACAATTTATTAGTTTTAATAATTACATTGTCTTCATAATCTTTTTGAAGAAGTTCAACATGTTTTTGATTTTTTAAAATTACATCTAAAGTTTTTTTTTGTTCAATCAATAAATTTTCTTTTGCTTCATTTATTGCAGCCTAAAGAAATATATTAACCATTATGAAATTTTCAGGAGTATTATTATATTAGTTAACAGAAAAAAAAATGTAACCATATTTTGCAATATAAAAATAAATTTTCAGCTAATAATCAACATCCTGTATTTTAAATACATAAATTGTTTTTGTACAATTAAAACTCATTAACTATTTATACATAATTAAAAAAAAAAAAGTGTTACTTTTAACTCATCTATTTGATTTTGTAATTCTAATGTAGTTCTTCGATTTTCAGCAGCAACATGGAATGCATGTTTTAAAGCAGTTTTAGTATCAGCAACAGTAGTTAAATGATCAAAACGTGTTTTTTTCATTAGTTCTAAATTATATTTGATGCATTATTAGTGAAAAATATTTTGATTTTAACTAATACAGATTAGAATAACCATTAAAAATATTTTAATAACTACCTTCATTACTATCAAATATTTTTTGTCTAAGTTCCATAATTTGTGCTGATCTTAATTGCAATTCTACAGCCATTTCTTTTTTATCCATTTTCAAACCATATTTAAATTCATCAGTTAGACCTGTTGTTTCCAATTGATCCTAAAAATATCAATTATTATTTTTTATTTTGTCTTAAAATTAAGTGAGAATTTTTTTAATTTTGTAGTATTTTAAACTTATTATCTAAAAAAATGTTTTGAAATACTAGAATTATTGCTAAAATGTAATTTTCATCAATACACATTTTCTCATTTTTAAGCCTTTATTATCTATTATATGAAGAAGTTATTTAAACTAATAAACAATGTATCATTGTCAAAAGAGTAATGAATCCAAATGGTATACTAATCTTTGTACTAGTAGCTGGAGTTGCTTATAAAATAGTATTAAACTTTATTAAAGTGTCATCTTATTTACTTGGCCAAACCATACCCTCTATGATGTAATATAGAAATATCTTTTAATAACAATTTCAATCAAACATTTTTTTTTAAAAAGAGATATTTTAATTTTATAAATCACTACCTTAATATCAATAATAAATGTACAATTTTAAAAGCAAGTCAAAAATAAACATGATATTTTGTAATAAATTTTGATATATTTAATTTTATAAGATCACTAATTTATATAGATCTGGTAGAAATAAAAAATATTTATGAAGATATTCTGATTATTTTGATACTAAAATAAAAAAATTACTACGTTTGCCATTTTAATTAATCCTACAGTTAATATTTACACACGGAGAAGCCCCTACTGACCAAAATGCATGATTTTTTTTATTATTTCTAGATAAAAACAAGTTATTATATTTATATACTTCACATCTTTGCATCATTTTGCAAATTGTCTCTCTATCCATTTCTAATTGTTCCAAAGTTTTTTCTGCATCTACTGTACTCATCAATACATCTAGCTCTTCATCAACCCATTTTTGTATACGTTGAGCTTTGGGCATAAACGCTTCATCGCGCTTTACTTCAATAGCTTTTCGTACAGCAAGTGCATCCTAAATTATTATAATAGGTTAATATGTAGCATGAAAAATATAGTATAAAATATCAATATAATATTTTTTGCTATTAATGCNCAATAGCTTTTCGTACAGCAAGTGCATCCTAAATTATTATAATAGGTTAATATGTAGCATGAAAAATATAGTATAAAATATCTATAAAATATTTTTTGCTATTAATGCTAAATTTATAAATTTAGAATTCCTAAGTACTTTAAGTCTTTTATTGACATTTGCTGCATCTTCAAGTTTTCGTTTTAGTGCAGTTTGCTGACGTACATGAAGTCTTTCCATGCGAATCATTTGATTTTTTTGTTTCCTTTCATTTTCTCGGAGTCTACACAGCTCTCTATCACGTTCTAATTTAAATTGTCTAAACTTTTCATTTTCACTTTTCATTTGTTGAATTAATTTAACTTTCATAACTTTAATACTCTGAAATAAAATATGTAAGATAGTCAAATTGAGTTTATAATATTTATGAATCCTTTGGTTATTAGTTTTTTTTTTAATTTTAATATTACTTATTATCATCTTTAAATATAAAATATTTAAAAATCACTTATATACCAAATAAATTTTTATTAACTATTATCTAAACTAATTAATGCTTTTCAATACATACTTTTATCTCATTATTTAGGCTCTCAACTTTTTGATCATTTTTCGCCTTCATTTTTATTATTCTATCTTGTTCTAAACATTTCTTTGTTAAACTAGCAATTTTGTTTTCTAATTCTTGCAATTTTTTCCTTCTTTGTTCCGCTAATCTATTAAATATTTATTCAATCAGAATATATTAATTAATAAGATTAATTTTGTTAATATGTAATATAAATTGATAATACTATTAGACAATTCCAATAATGGTTTTAACTATTAGATCTTTGAAAATACAGAGAAAATAAATTTTAAAAAATAATTAAATATTTGAAGGTATTTTATTAAAAATGTCTTTTTTTAAGGATAATTGATCAATTTTATACATAACTTAATTTAAAAAAAAATTTTTAGTTTAAATTTTAAAAGTTTTTAATAGAATTTACATACTAGAATTGAAAAAAAAATTGTTTTAAATATTAAATATTTTTATCTTTTTGACACCAAATCAACATAATATTTTAATTTTAATAATTTATCTTCAAAAAAGTTGTAGGCTCAATAAGCTTTAGAAAAACAAAACAATATAGACATTTAAAAAAACTTGGGACATTGGAGATGTGGTGTAGTTGGAAAAGTATAAATGATATCCGACAGTGAATAAAATCACTACCATAAAAACACTTCAATACAAATTTGTAAATAATGTTTAATTTTTAATAGTAATTGTCTAATTATTCCACACTCCTATTTTCTTAATTATACCTGGTTTACAAGTTTTATGTTTATAAGTATATTTTATGAATAAATATTTATTATTGTATTTTATCAAATTACCTAATTACAAGTAAACGTTTTATTAAAACAAAGTTAGTTTTAGAACATAATAATATTTTGATAATTTTATCAGCTTTTAATAATTTAAAAAAATTAGACATACTAACTTGGTACAAATATTATTTGACTGAGCTACTTTAAGAGCTTCTTCCAATTGATCTCTTTCCTGTTTCAGTTGCTCAAGTTTATTTTTCAATTCTTCTGTATCCTCTTCTGGGCAATACTCACCAATATGGGAAACTGATTCAATAAGTTTAGCTGCTAAATGTTCTTTCATAGCCAACTCTTTATTTAATTTATTGAGTTCTCTATTTAATTGTATGGTTTCCATTACCATTTGTTCTTTAGTCTGATCAGTTTCATTATCACATTCAGATTGATCATCATCCATATCTTCATTGGCGGTAACATAATCATCACTACATATCTCAACCTCAGTACGATTGTGTTCATCCTATTTTATGAAAACATAAATAATAATATAATAGTATTGTAATTTAATATTATATTGTCGAATTATAAAATTGGTTATATAAATTTTTAAAAATCCTTGACTTTTTAAGGTTTTCCAAAGTTGTGGCAATCATGATTATTTTTTCAAATATATAAAATAAATAAGTATATCTATGGAAATAATAAATTATTATCACAAAAATGATAAAATTTCACTTATTTTATACCATTAAATTTTAAAATAATCCATTATAACAGGAGAGGACTGACCATGATGACAAGGGAGCAATTGTCATTCAGGCTGCTTTTTTTTTTTTTTTTTTGAAAATAACAGTTTTTAAAACTTTTCTTACAAAAATTTTTTGATAGATTGATAACATTTTTAGGTTTGGTAATTATTGAGTTACATGCATTTTTATACATAGAGCGGATATGGAACGATAGCATATATATTTACACAAAAATAAACTGCACCCACTCATATTACATACATTGACATATTTATATTTAGGTGAGAAGAAAAATACGACTGCGAAATGTCTATTTATAAAAATAACAGAACTCAGTCTTCACCTATCAATCATTAATTTAAAACGTCAATAATTTCTGCAATAATTAATCAGTCATTTTTTTAATTAGATCATTATCTAATAAATAAGTTAATTGTGCATGTTATCATTTGAAAAATTTAAGTTGACACCCTTATATGGTATATAAAAACTTTGTTTAAATAATTGAACTAAAGAAATCAATAAAAAAATTATTTTTATTTTTTGATTAATTAAGTGAATCACCCTGTATATATTAGAAAATAATTTATCAAAAATAATTCCTTAACATTTAATATATTCAGTTCAACATACTACAAAAATGTGTAATTTACATATTACATACCATAATATAGCTAATTTTTTGTTTAATATTTTTAAATTCTTCAACATTATTAGTTTTTAATGCATTTTCAAAATCTGAAGCTAAATCTTGAAGGTGTTTTTTCATAGTTTCACGTCCTGTTTCTGCCTATGATAGAAAAAATAAAATGATTAGTTACACTATCCAGACATAAGTATGAAAAGTAAACTAATATTTTTAATTAGTTTAATATATTATTTACCATTAAGGCTTTCATATTAAGAGAAGCACTTTGTGTCATATATTCACTTAACACTTGACTCATCGATCTAATTTTATCTTGATAATCTTTAACACATTTTTGTAATTCGTTATGTTCAGGGGGACAGTTAGTGACTCCATTAGCTTCCATGGCTACAATTTTCAACTTCAATTCATGATTCTACGTAAAAATGTAATTTTTATAAGACATATTTTTTAAACAATAAAAAATTAATACTTTTAATTATTAATATAAATTAGTTTTTACTATTCAAACTATTTATTATAAACTTTTTTTTAATGATGTAAGTAAAATCACTAAAATATTAAAAAATCTAATAATTAATTATACTTGGTTGAAATAAAAATTTTAATGACATTGAGAAATTGTAATTTTTATAATTTTATAGACATCACTGTTATAAAAATAATTATTTTTACACTAGCTGTAGACCTGATACAACCTCATTATATCTGAGAGAATCAGTATGACATCAAGGAGTATCACAGTTAAAGTTCCCATATAGTTACCCATCCCAGAACCAATAACAGAGCAGCTGAATATCAGTGCTACGATGACAACTAAGTGATCCATTGCAAAACACCACACCCCTAATAGATTTATATTTGTAAATAATGAAATATTATGACTTGATTAAAATTAAGCTAATGATACCATGTTCTTTTTGTGGTTTCTTATACTTTCAACAAACATAAAAATTTTCTATTTACTATAAATAAGGATCGGACTAATATTATTTTAAAGTAGCCAAAATATGATGCTAATATTCTCTCAGAAAGTTAAAAATCTCTTATTAAATTCTTTAAAAAATTAGAAGAATATGCTAAAACTATTATTTAATTAAAATATATTCTCTTAAATTTAAAATATACTTTTATGAAAATTAAATAACACACTAAATTAATTTATTGTTTTATTTTCTATAATAAAAATTTGTATATCAAAATACACATATGTATTATAACATGTATTATATAATATATAATATATTTATATATATTATTATATATAATATAATATATTACCATAATAAATGTTACTTTTAAAATTGTTTTATACAAATGTTTTATTTTAAGAAAAAAATCCTTATTTTGTAATAATTTACTACACAACAAAAAACATTGGAATTCTATCAAATTTATCAATATATTCTTTTATCATGAAATATTCTCAAATATGCAAAAAAATCTTACTATTTAATTAAACACTTCACAATTTTTTTGAAATTTCAAACCTTTGTTTTTTCTGCAAGTACCCTGCCCCCCTTAAAAAAAGTGAAAAACAATAAAATTCTATCCTCTAATTATAATATAATAAATAAAATAAAAATACTTCTTTAGAAAGAGCAGTAAGTTGAGCAGTAATTGGATCTTGATTTATAATAGGCTTATTTTTAATTTGTAATGCTCTATTAGCATAACGTAGTGTACTAACAGTTTCATCCATATTATAATCAGCTGGACTAATACATGCTATCATTAATGTAACAGAATTTCCACCCAACGAGTCTGTAATAATAATTAAATAATATTTAATAGAAGTATCATCATATAGTACTATTTTAAAAAATAATAAGACATGTAAATTTTAGTTTGACCACTGCATTTATAAAATCATTTAAAAACTAACCTTCAAGTAACTTAATAAGTAATAACTTCTTCTAATAACTTAAGTTCAAAAATGTTTTGCTGTGGTAAAAAGCTTAGAATATAATAAGGTATTGCTTTAAGTAATAAAACATTATATTATTTTCTAATAAATTATTTGAGCTAATAATAAAAATTACCTTGTAATAAACGTGTTAATTTACTATCTCTATATGATACATGAGCAGATTTTTCACATAAAGATGTGATAACATTTCCTAAAGACAAAAGTCCTTTATTAATATTAACTCCTTCTTTAAATCTCTCTCCGGTGGCTTTAGTTTTTTTACTTCTTTCAGAACCAGCTAAATCAACTAGATGAAATTTGGCAGTCATACTATTTCTACAAATAATTAAGGTGATACATTAATATAACAATATTTTATTCAAGAGTTGTAAATACATTAAAAAGAATATATTTTCTATTGTTTAAATTTGTATTTTTAACTATTTTTAAATTGAATGATTGGAATATAATTAAATCACGGTATAATTTCTTTATAGTAAAATTACTATTGTATATTTTATTCTATCAAAAGTTTCAAACTAGTATTTTACTTTAAATAATAATTTTATATTTTTTGTTAATTTATAATTATTCATAGGCTGGGTTGTTTTAGGTGTTTAAAACATTAAAAATTTCAAAATTTACATTGGTTTAAGGGAACATTTTAAAATGTACTTATTTTTTTAACAGGTATTTAATAAAAACTTATTTAAATAATTTTCATAAGTAAAAATGCTCACCCATCATCTTGTACTTGACTTATGGTCAAAGTAAAAATACAATGACTGCGAGAAGATTGCGCATTCATTGCCGTTGCACCAGTGGCACGGCCACTTGAACCCTGAAAATAAAATATATTATGTTTAAAATTTGATATAAAGTGTTTAAAAATATTAATATTTATCATTTCTAAAATCCTATATCTCATTTTAAAATACTCTACATTTTATAAAATAAAAAATTTAATTTAAAAATGTTTCAATTTTTTAGAAGAGTTCTAGAAAAAACACTTGGAACTAAACATTATCTATTTATGAAAAATCATTTTATTAAAATTCTAAATAGTTGATGAGTAACATGACTGATAAACTTGAAACTCAAATAAAAATTAACGTACCTGAACTAAACATTGAAGAGTACTATCAAAGTTATTTACACCTATTTCAGTTAATCCAGGAATACAAATGCCTCGACCATCTTCTCTAATATCAAGAGTTGCTTTGTTAGGTGATAAAAGGTCGTAAACTTGTTCTTGATAAAGCTACAAAATAATTATAACTCTTAATTAAAAAAAAAAACATCAAAAAGATATAACAATACTTCTATAAATGATGCTTTAATAGTAAAATTTGAATCTGTCTTTTTTTGCACTTCATTATAAATATTTTGGATAGCTCGAGGTATTATACCTTTTTCTTCTTCATTACTATCTACAAAATTTGTTCCCATTGAATGAGTTTTACCTGATCCAGTTTGACCATATGCTAGTATGGTAACATTATAACCTAAAATTATAAATAAAAAATACTTCAAGTCACTACTACGTTTTATAGGAATCACATAAATAAAAGTTATTTATTTACCACTAAATAATTTCTGAACTAAATCTTCTACTGCTAACTCATATACATGACTTTGAGAATGTTCAGGAGTAAAAACATAATTGAAGGTAAAAGTCAAATTAGCATTATTATTGACAATTATCTGTTGGTTTATGGGGTCTCCTAACACACAATTGGAACATCCTCGCTCCAATTCGGATTTTACAAGGGGGCGTATCCGAATGGCAACTTTTACAGCATCCATGTCAACTAATAACTAAAACATTAAAAAGTGAGATTAATTTTTAAGAACAAAGTATAAAATTATTGAAAGATGATTACTCAAAATTTGTCATTAATTTTATTTACATTTATAAAATCTGTAAACTCCAAATAAAATAAAATAGAAGATCCTAAATAACTTATTGAGTTGTTGATTTTAAGAATTTTAAATAACTATAAGGTTTATATACACTAGTATAACTATGAAAGGGGTATGGATGTTATATCCCCTTAATGACAAAAAAAATTATATGGCAAAGATACAACCTTTTTTTATTTTGAAGGGAAATAAACAATTTTCTTATATATATATACTTCCCCAAGACGAAACCTTAATTACACTATTATTTATACATACATACATATGAAATAAAAATTGTTTTTTATTTTGTAATTATTAAATTAAGAAATAATTTTATAACTACAATATTAAATTTAAAAAGAGGTTAATCATACATTAAAAAACCAAATAAGTTTTCTATTTAATAAAAAATTGTATAATAAATTATATTTTACTTACTCATCAGACAATTTTCCTTCGTTATTCTTCAATCTTCCGAGTTCCAGTCATTAACTAATCAGGTAATATGTCGTTATTTTAATTTTTTGAACGTAGGAAAATAACAGTATTGCCACAGACTGTGGTATTACAAACAACAGATAGCATGCAGTGTATCCAGCATAACACATCTATATTTCTTGAATCATGTTACTGATAACCTACTTATGGATTTTTATAAATAATTAAATTTCCTTGTGATTGTCATAGTTATGATCATCATAAAAAAATTGAGTGCCATTAAGTTGTTGTAATTATTCCAACAACTAAAAAGTACACAACTATTAAACTTAATTAAAATTATGCAATTTTTGTATATATTTATCATTTTTTTTTTATAGCCTTTATTAAAATAATTAGCTCAACAATTATAAGCAAAAGTAAAAAGTATATCAGTCATAATACTATGTTATAACGGTACAATAAATCCGGCAATAATTGTTAGTATACTCAAAATTTTATTTTTATTATTATTTAAAATTATTTTTAACAGAGCCTTTAATGTCAAACTGAAAAATTATTAAATTAAAATTTTTAATTGAAAGAAAGGAAGAGAGAAAAAAAAATAGATACATAAATAACTACAAAATAATAATAATAAAATTAGAGATTAAAAATTAAGCCGGAACTACTCAAGGAAAATATGATAGAAATAATTATAATTAAAGAACGGGAATTAAGCGTATTAGGTATTAATATTGTGGGAGGCTAAATAATTTATTTCTGTTATTAATTATGGCGGCACAATCAAAGAAAAGACGAGGAAAATCGCATAGAGCTTCACTATCGTGTAGGGGAGAGAATGGAACGGAATTTAAGGAAAGATTGAATGCATGGTAAGGAAGAAGAACCTAAGTCTTGAGTACTGAGAAATGATATTTCTGGATAAATCAAGGTTATGAAAACATGGAAAATGAATAATGAAAGGAGATTTCGAAAGATACCAACATATCGTTTTCAATTTTATTGTAGCCCAACTGTCCTGTCAGGTTTGAAGAACTGTCTGTCGAAAGAGGCGGAGAAAGTCGGAAGCGGGAATGTTATGACTGGAAGAAGTAAAGATGGGGGAAGTAGCAAGACGATCAGCTGTTTCGTTACTTAATATACCGGCGTGACCCGGCACTTAGTAAAAAACAATAGATTTATTTATAGATCGAATTAAGGAGATAAGTGATCTAATAATAAAAATGTAGGGAGAAAGATGAGAGCAAAATGGATTATATGGCAAGTAGGCAAGATAGAGAATCAGAAAAAATAGCAAATTCATTAATTGAAGTAGAAAATATAAAAATGAGAACATTAACAATGGCAAGGCATTCAGTGGTAAAAGAAGAAGAAGGGTGGAGTACAGCTGAGTATGAAATATTAAGTTCATGAATAAAGAAAGAACAACCAGCCGAGTTAGTTGATATCTGTGAATATCAAGCATTTAGTCGGAAAATTAGCTGAGATATAATCTTTAAAGAGATTATTAAAGGAAGTTACAGAAAGAGAACGGCGGCTTAAAGGAGGGAAGCCGAGGAAACACGTTTAAGTATACACTATGGGAGCTAATGTAAGGGAAACTAGAGGACAATCAAATAAAGGTAATCTGGAGTGTGATTTGTAAATGTGATAGACCATGGGGGACAGGGAAGAATATACTGAGGTTAAAATTGACAGCGATTTAGGTACGTATCGCCAACAATTACTTAATTCAGAGTGTTCGCGCCGCATGCAAATCGTAGATAGCGCGTGCTCATTGTTTCCATCTACTCATCTAGCCTTCCTCTCCCGGTTGTTTGACGGCATCGGTCGGTTATCAATGCCGGCCGATAACTATATGATACGTAATTTTGTTTAGTAATAAGATTTAGTACCATGTTTCTCCTTGTTTACCAGACAGTTGTTCTTTTTTGTTGTAAGTCACACGGATGACATTTTCTATTTTATAAGTCGCACTGGTGACGTTTTTAACACGCTTATATTAGTTTCACTTGTATGTTGTATGTTGTAAGTTTGTAACTCCACGCGGCACGTGTTATTATGTCGCGTATCCCGTCGTCTATGATCTTGAGACTAGACCATCGTAACGCATTCACCCCACCCCGCTCACCAGTCGGCGCCAACACTATTTTTCTGTATAATTTTATTTTTGGTTTTCGTACCCGTATACACGTGCGTGTCATGAATTATATATATATATAACAAATTTTTATTGTGACTGACACAGNTATAACAAATTTTTATTGTGATTGACACGGCCCCGCGTTGTTTCGTTATACACGATGCCCCACGACTCGTGCCACCTTTATCAGCCGTCGCCCTATTTTATGAGTATTTGACTGACCAACACCGCGCGTTAAACGCCGCGGTGCAAAGTCCAGCAAGTGCGGCACGGCCGACGACATACCGCCGCTAATGATACCATAGTCTTCTTCCCATTGTCAAAGTGACAACGTCAACAAACCGACCCGCACTCGCGCTCCATCATCATCTACGCTGCTAACCTTTTGACGCCCGAGGATCACGCCGGACATCGCGTCGTCGACGCCAGCGAAAGTGCCGAGATATTATGTGAAGATTATATATTCTTACCATCGCCGCTAATATTTATTTATATATACATATATATATTAATATTTATATATACGTATATGTTAATATTCATTTATATATTCCTACAGCCGACGCCGCTGCCGCCGTATGTACCTCGTGTATAACGTTCCCCCCGCCACGCCCGCCCACAAAACACGGCTATACCTCGTGCATGATACGTTTACGTACTTAAGTAGCTTTACATGTATATATATATATTTAAATTACTATTAAAAATATATATTANATATATATATTTTAATTACTATTAAAACTTATATATTAATACGCTATATTCTCATTAAGAGATATATAGTGTATTCATTCCGATTACGGGGGATGATTGCCGTATTGTCATTTTTCGTCACTACTTCCACGTTGCACGCTTGCTGCTTTCCTTGGATGTGTAGCGAGGTGTAATATATAGAAGTAATAAACACTTTTACGATTTAATAACAACTATACTATATTACAACGAACTAACAAATAACAGCGAGAGACGAAGCGCGTTTCAGACAGAGTGCGTAAGTGATTGACTGATCGATTGATTGACTGGAGCGACGATCTTGCCCTTAAATAGTCAGAGGAATCTTCTAGAGGCGGCGGCGGCTGAACATTCTAGAACATTCGACCGCCACACCACCCCCTACGGAGTGGAGTTAGCTAGGGTCAAAAATGTCCGGGAATCTGACTCGGCGGCCTGAGCGAGTTGTTCGCACTGGCTGTGTTGATGGATCGGTATTAGGCGGTTGTTTTTGTTTGGGCGTATTCGGGGCAGTCGCTGGTGGAGCATGTGCCTGGCTATCGGTTGTGCTTTCGTTCACCATGAGGTAGGCAGGTTTTACTCTATCAATCGTCACCGTAACTGGTTGATTTCGAACTTTTATTGTGAACGTTTTGTCATTTCGGGCAATTACTTCGTAGGGACCTTGATATGGCGGTTGAAGTGCTGCTCGGACACCTCCCTCCCTGAGAAATACGTGTGAACAGTCCTTAAGGCCCGCAAAAACAAATGATCGTGGATTTGAGTGGCGAGATGCAGGTACTGGACGGATTTTATTCATAACACTGCGAAGACGATCTAGTAAGCTAGTAGGGTCGTTCGTACTGCTATTATCTTGATTGTCTGTGAAGAAATCACCAGGAAGATTAAGAGGCTCACCATAAACAAGTTCCGCAGACGTGGCTTTTAAGTCTTCCTTAAACGCAGAACGTATTCCGAGAAGCACGATAGGCAGTGACTCAGTCCACGAGTCTTTTGCGTGGGCCATGATGGCTGCCTTTAGTTGTCGGTGCATTCGTTCGACGAATCCGTTTGCAGCAGGATGCCAACTGGTAGTGGGGCGAAGCGTAAAACCAAAACGTTTTGCTAAAGTTTTTAAAGTAGCTGAAACAAACTGAGTACCACGGTCAGTCGTAACGTATTGAGGTACTCCGAAGCGTGAAATCCAGCAATTGAGGAAACCCTTAGTGACATAATCTGCTGTTATACGTTCGAGTGNTAGTGACATCATCTGCTGTTATACGTTCGAGTGGATACACCTCCGGCCAACGGGTGAAACGGTCGATTACCGTCAGACAGTACCTAAAGGACTGTGATGGCGGCAATGGACCGATGATATCGACATGAACATGTTTGAATCGGCGTGAAGGTGTTTCAAAGTTTCCCAGTGGGGCTGAGACGTGTCGGCTTATTTTCGATCGCTGACAGTGGACACAGGCACGTGCCCAGGAACGGCAATCCTTTTTCATTGCTGGCCACACAAATCGTTCTGAAACTAAATGAGCTGTTGCGCGTGCACCGGGGTGACTAAGGTTATGTAACTGATCAAATGCGTGACGCCGGAATCGTTGTGGCAAAAATGGTCGTGGGCGTCCCGTTGACGTGTCGCAATAAATATAGGCTGAAGATCCTGGCACTAGTACCTTCTCCAAATGAAGAGATGAATTGTTGTCAGTAAAATGTTTGAGTTCATCATCCGTGTCTTGAGATGCAGCAAGAGCTCGGTAGTCCAGCGGGAGAGACACAACTTCAATGCGTGACATTGTATCCGCGACGATATTTTCATCACCTTTAATGTGTTGAATGTCGGTGGTGAATTCGGATATGAATGTCAACTGGTTGAGTTGCGTAGGAGGTATCTTTTCTCTCCGTTGGGTGAAAGCATATACGAGTGGCTTATGATCGGTGAAAATGGTACATGGTTGTGCTTCGACAATGTGCCTGAAATACTTCACCGATTCATAGATGGCAAGCAACTCACGATAATACGCAGGCCACGCACTTTGTTTCACCGACATTTTCTTTGAAAAAAATACTATGGCTCGGGGTAGACTTAAGAACACTAAGAATGCTGCACATGCATGCGCATAAAAGGGAATTTAGTTTTTTCCTACAAGTGTAGGAAGCTGAAGAAAATAAAAAAGAGGCGTATTCAATTTTAGCGCGGATAACGGATTTAAAAATGAGAAGTAATGAGGACGGATGAGAGCCCCAGGATGTACCAGTAATACAGCGTATAAAATTTGCCCAGCGGGCAACGTATGAGAGAATAAAACGGAAATGAGAAAGCCATCTCAATTTGGGATCTAGTTTGAGGCCTAAGTAAATGACACAATCAGAGGGAGGGATGGTTATCCCATCAAGAGTAATTATGGGGTAAACAGACAGTAAGCGTTTTCTAGTGAAAATTATTAACTGGCTTTTCAATGGAGCAGCCTCAAAATAATGAATTTGAAGAGAGTTAGAGAAGACAGCAATTGAGTTATTAAAGAGTTGAGGGCATTATGAATATATGAGATATATGAGGAGAGAAAAGAACAATATCATCAGCATAGAAAAGTGAAAAAGTTCTACTAGAGGTGAGGGAGAGGCTAATTTTGATCATGTAAATATTAAAAAAAAGAGAACTAAGGCAGCTACCCTGTGGGAGGCCACGGTAGGATGTGCGATTAAATATTAAACCGGAAGGAGAAGTGAAAGTAAGGAAACTTTGTGAATAGAGACGTGAAATAAAATTACAAAGTGTAAGGGGTATAGAATAATAATGTAAAAGGAAAATAAGGGTAGGGATGTGTACAGAAAAAGCACCTTTGATGTCAACAAAGACACCAGGACAATAGGATTTATCACAAAATGTTTTGTATATACAGGCCGTGAGAGTAGATAAATACTCCATGGTGCCAAGCCCTCTTCGAAACCCGCATAAGTTATGGAGAAGACAGTTATTTTTTTCAAAAAACCAATCAAAATCTTGATAATGGGTTCGACTACTTTGCAAAGAAAAGAGGAAAGAGCTATTGGGCAAAATGCAACGGGAGTTAGATTTAGGAACGGGTATGACGTTAAAATTACTCCAAGAATCAGAAATATCACCTTGGGACCATAAAGAATTGAGAATAACTAAGAAAAGTTCAAGGTAATGAGAAGGGAGATGTTTTAGAACCAAAAGGGAAATTCCATCCAAATCAGAGATGGACGATTTACGCGAATAGATTGCATAGGAAATTTCACTGAATGTAAACGCAGATGTAAGAGGATGAAAAGGGAGAGAATGAAGTAAGGGGTTAGGATCAAGGGTAAGAGAGGATTTTTCTTGTTTAAGTGTTTTTTTGAACAGAAGCGCGTACTTTTTGGTACTCAAAGAAGTTGCTTAATAGACCCGAGGATCTATATATTTTAAAAGCATAAGTGCGCTTATTGATAGCGTAGGTGCAAAAGGAAGATCACCATATTAAAGGAACAGGTAAATTAACGGCTCTAATAATTGTAGACACCAACCAGTTGTAGTCCTTAATGAGAAAAGAGGAGGAAAAATTAGAATTGAAAATGATGATCATGTAATTTTGAAATGATGGCCAATCAGCTTTCGAATAATTAAATCTGTTAATAGCGGTGTGTGAGAAGGAGGGAGAGGGAGTGGGAAAATTCGTGTGGGAAGTAATACTGGGAAAATGATCACTACCATGAGTGCAGTCTAGGACAGACCATGACAACGACAACGAAAAAAAGGGAAATGAAATGGTTAGGTCAACCGTGGAATCCATTTGTGAAGGACTGGTAAGGAGTGTGGAGAGTCCTGTATTGAGAATACAATGATTGTAGGCAGAAATAGCAGACGAAATAATGTTACCACGATGATTGAAGATTAGTGCCTCTCAAGAGGGATGGTGACCATTAAGGTCACCGCCTATAATAGAATTACAAGAAACTAAAGAAAAAATGTTATCAATTAGTATAGAAGGATGGTTGTAAGAGGGGGGAATGTAAATAGACGAAATTTCAATGGGATTGGTTATATTGGTAAACGCCTCGATACCGACAAGATCTATGGAATGATTAAAAAGTGAGATTTTTAATACAGGATCAATAGAAATAGGGTTAATGTGGATAGTATGATGGAAAGCGATTGCTATGCCGTCAAAACCGTCGATACGCTCAAGTTGATTAATGTTGAACTGTGGAAGAGAAACACATTTATTTGTAAGGAGCCAAATTTCAGAAAGGAGAACAAAAGAACATTTATTGTTAGAGAGAAGAAAAGAAAGATCGTGCATTTTAGGGGATAAACTTCTTACGTTCCACTGAAGAATGTTGAAAGAAGGATAGTTAAGATTACTATTAAAACGTATCATCATTGTCAGATAAAGGATAGTGGATGTTAATTAATGAAGATTCGATAGTTGATTAAAGTATTGAAGGGGAGGAAATTAATTTAGGATCGCTCGCAAGTAGATGAGCGATATGTTGCAATAAGCAGGAAATCTAGTTGCGGTCATCAGAAAATACGATTTTGGACATATATTTCAAGAAACTGCCATTCGGCGAAATTGACCTAGAACAGTCATTTGTTAAAGGAGGAAAGTAGGGGAAGGGGACTTGAGTTCTATTACTTTTTTCTTATTTTGTTTATTTGTATATGTATTGGTAAAATGACTAAGGGAAGGAAAAGAAGGAGAAGCTACTACTTCAACACTAGATATATTTGTATTTTTTGCAACATCAGAAAAAGTAAAAGCTTTATTAACTAAACTGGAACGTTTGATCAAGGAGGCTTCAGAAAACGAGATATTGTATGTGGGCATTATTTTTTTAATGTCCTTTTGCACAGACTATTAGCTGCAAGATCTATTCGTCGCAGGGTGGTTAAGTTTACAAAAAATGCACGAAGGAGGTGTGGTTAACTTGACGTTACAATTAAAATCAGTTTGGTTAAAGAGACCGCAGTAACTGCAGGGCTCCCTACTGCGACAGAACTTGAGGGTGTGACCAAAACGTAAATACTTGCAACATTGGACAGGAGATTGAATATTCAGAGAAACATCGAAAATAACTTTGCATATTGATAATTTTTGAGGAAAAGTTGCTGACAAAAATTTAAATTTGAAATTTGAAGAAACGAGGATGTTATCCTTTTTTATATTAATGCGTCTGAATGAAATAACTTTGACTGAACATTCAGAACCCTTCCAAAAGTTTTCTTCAGAGATACTTTTTTCAACACGAATGATTCCAATACTATATAGTAAAGTGCTAGGAATATTCGCAGAGTAGCTGTGTTCAGAAAGAGAGGGGGAAGTGAGACAATTGTTAACGTTATTAACCGAATCAAATGTGATTTTAACATGCTTAGAACCGATAGGGTTTATGCTAAAAATACCAGAAAATAGTTTGACCGAGCTTGACTAGGTGAAAATTGCCTAAGTTATTATGACCAGATGCAGAAACAAGTACATTAAGGGGACCAGTGTAGTGTAGTGGAAAGCATTCAGGAACAATAGGTTGCCTGACTGTTGATATATTAAGAGAATCGACATAGAGCGAGTTTATGTTTGAAGTTGGCGAACCGGGTAACGTCACAACGATGACTTCAGGTGAGCTACAATCCATGCTGTTAGTTTGAGATTGGGGGTCATTAGATTTTGGTTTATCGTCTGATTTAGGTTTTTTGTGTAAAGGACTAGTTGGAGGTTTAGAACCTTGATTGTTCTTACTAGAATAACGAGAATTATTCAGAGATTTGTGAGTTGGAAGTTTGCAAAGTGCTTCTACGGCGCAATGGGGAGTGGTGCTGATCACTTCTTCTCGGATTAGGTCTGGATTGCATTCAGATCCCCGGTGAACACCGTAAATGTGCCAAAAAGGCGAAACAATGGTTTCAAAACTGATAAAAACTATGAATAAGCGGATTAGTACTCAAAAATAGGCGGGTAACTACAACGTACGCGAGATAAAAACGTCCGTACAATACGATTGATAAATCGTAACTGTTATACATTTATAATATTATTTATATATAATGATGTTTGAGAACAAATTTATTTAAAGAAATGATTAGTTTATTAATTTAATTATAATCAAACAAATAAACACTTGTAGTTAAATAAATATGAATATTTAAAAAATCTTAAAGTGTACTGGCTTGTATAATAATTTTAATTAGTCAGCTGCTGATAATTTGTTTTTAACTATAATAATATATATTTTTAATTATTTGTTATTGGCCAAAATATTTTGATCGATAGTAACCATTTTATATATAAGGTGCTGTAATTGTTCATATCGTCGATTCATTTGTGTAATATGTTTTTTCAATAAGTGTTCAATCCGTTTTGTGAATACAAGAATGACCATGAATGCCACGAATACTATGATCTAGAGATGCAGTTGGATATAATCGAATCAAATTCCTGTACTTTGAAATACACCGGAAATGTCTATGGATCTTTCCTTGTTATTTTAAGGGAGATAGTAATTTCGACAGCTTTAAAAAATATTAATAGCGTTGGTTCAGGGGAATAGATTGTCCTTTTTAAATAAGTCCCTGGTTTTAATATTAATCAGTATTCATCATAAGCACCCAAGTCTGTGTTAGTTTGCTGAAAATTAAAAGAGATTTTTGTTCAAAGGATATGAACGATGGACATCGTATATACTTAGCAAACGCAAATATGACATTATTACAACATAAAGTTCATAAAGATAGACCCAACGCACTTACGGTGTCCACAGCTGTTGAGTGTTTCATTTACATAGATTATAGTCGAGATGATGACTTAAGGTGTTACCACTGATAAGATAGTGCATTTTCTATTCAAAATGTGTAATTTTCGTTTTACCTTATGAGAAGCAATACAACAGACTACATGACAACAGATAGATCATCTGAACCGTTAACAAAACAGTAAAGTACTGTTTCAAGCAAAGTGTTTGGAAGCAGAAATGTCAATGTAACCAAATGTATGAGAGCAAAATAATCTTAATTTTAATTATAATTATAATTATATCTGTTGTAGTATAAATATTATGACATTTTATAAAAAAACACGAATATCCAAATAATTTATTTTAAACATTATCGAATTAAGGTATGAAACCAATCCATGAACTTTCATTTAGCCTAATTTATTACCTTTAATAGTTAAAAATCCCAAAATTAGTGATGGAATTAAGCAATTCTCAGTTTTAATTCTTTTTGTTTCTGGATACGAGTACAAATGATCGGAGTTATAACCGTGGGATTCCTATTTTAGTGGGCTTTGAAATAAAATTTTTATAGGAAAAGAAACGATTTTAAGTAGTAATTTTAATCATTTGGCAGACTTTATTAAAAAAAAAAAAAAGAATAATATAGGATCATTTTAAGGATAAAATGTTTTCATACAGTGATATAGTTCGTATTTCGTGTGCAGTTGAATCTAAATGCCACGTACTCAATTCAAAAACGCGAGGCCGGATTAAGTAATTACATACGTTTAATAAAATTTACATAATTAATACAAATTTATTTACCATTGAATAATTTTGGAAGAACAGATTCTTTGGTTTACATTGTTTATTTCATTTTTTCATTAAGTTTTTTCTTTTAGCTTTAATACAAAGCTGAGAATGTTTAGTTTCACTTCGGTGTACGTTATTTTTAAAATAAATAAATAAAATTTAAATTTAATTGTTATTTGATTATAGAAAAACATAATTATTGTAATTACATTAAATATAAATTAATAGAAACAAATTTTACTAAAATGTTTTATCAAAACATTTTATACATAGATATTTTATTTTGTTCAAATTGTCACTTTTTGTCATGTTTTTATATTAATCATTGTAGGACAATGTCTGTTCTCTTTTATAATATTATTTAATTATTAAAACTATTTTTTCTGATCATGAACCTTGTTATCTTTTATTATCTATTATTCAATATTATACATTTAATTTTTTTTATATTGAGCGCCATCGATTGTAAATCAATCATCGTTTTATTTATTACTTACATATATAAGATTATATTTGTTTCTATAAAAACTAAGAATATAGTGGATATATGAAAATATTCTATTAAAATATAATTTGGGTTATTTTAGTCTTTAAAATAATCTATACATATAAATAACATATAGATTCTTCTGTGTTATTTTTTAACTCATCATAATTCTCTCTAAAACTTATATTGACAAAAATAAAAAAATATCGAGAAATTTTATTTGTCTATTATATATTTTTTTCAATTTATCAATTATTAAGTATTTTTTATGTTTATCTATTATACATTATAAGGGAAACAACTTACACATGGCGTGGGAGGAGGAATGTGTCTTAGAAATGTTAAGTGATAAATGTAACAAAACATAAGTCTCACCTTCATTCTGTTTTATAATTTTATAATAAAATTTATTTTTTTTAAAAACATTATTTTAAAAAAAATAAATTTTTTAAGACACTAAAAATTTGTTTTTCATGACATAACTATACATAATTCCGAGTAATTAAAGTTTATTTTGATACTATACAATCATGATTGTGCTCAATGTTTTTGGTTTTACAATTCAATACTTAATTAATTATTTTTATCTAATAAGAGCACAAAATAATCCATGCAAAGATAATAGAAAATTTTTTATTACACAATCCAATTATAAAATATAATTAATTAATTTTAAAAATCGGAATAACTAACAGTTGTAAGTATATATTATCAATATACACGAGATGAAGCCTTTTAAAAAAAGGTGGCATTTATTTCTGTAAAATATACAGTTTTTTCAGTATATTTAAAATCTGTAGCCATTGCTACACCAAATAATACATGAAAAGTATATTCAAATTAAACACAACCAACTGCAGCTGATGTTGAGTTTTTTTTCTTTAAAACTATATCCTTGATATTCAAGTGTACTTTTTCCTTACGTTGAGGTGGCACTGACTGAAGACAAAACCTCTTAAATGCTTCTAATTCTCGTTCTTCATCATCCATTTCTCCATCTTCCAAATCAATATCTTTTGGTTCGAACACACTTTCTGTAAATGGCCACAAACACTCAAACATTTTTTTTATTTTAGGTATATTGAGAAACATAAATAATTAATTATACTTTTTATGTCTTACAAGTTTATTTTTTTATATTTTACCAATGAAAATAAGAAATATACTATTAATATTTTAAAATTAATAAGAGCTTTGAAAAGTTATATCAAGGTTTATATTGTTCAATTTACTGGAGGGTATCAAAAATATTCTGCTCTCATTTTGATAAAAATAATTATTTAATTTTAACTTTAGAGATGATATGAAATTTTTTCAATACAAATGTTTATAAAAAAATTAAACAATTACTAATATAATTTTTTTTTAGTGTTTTTATATTTTATATAGTAATTTTTTGAAAAAATTACACTTTTACTTTAAATATAATCCCAAAAATAGAGTTTGATTAAAATTCATAGCTTTAAAAATTGTTTGTAATTATCAAATGCATCAAAAATAGTTTAAAATGATTAATTTAAGCTTTAAAATTAATAACTATTCAATACAAAATGAATTTTAGCAGATCCAATGCAAGCAAATTGTTTTTATAATGTAATAGTAATTACACACCATATGATATCATACAAATGACCATAAAACGTGCTACTGTAAATAATAAAACCAGTAAGCCAAAAATACAATGTAATTAATAATTTTTAGTGTTATATATTTAATATTTATCCATGATAAGCAGTAAGAAAAACTGTAAAGCCTAAAAACGTGTTTTATTTTTAAATATATAACTTTCAAATATAATTACAAATATTAGCATAAAATTAAAAAATAAACACAATTTTGAAATAAAATAAATATAATGACTTCAATTAATGTATAAAAAAAACAAATTAAAAGATATAACATAAACTTAGAAATTTAAGCTCATATTTGAAATTTCATAATTATTTAACTAAATAATATGTTTCATTTCAAAGTTTAAAATAAAAAATAAAAGCATAAAAAGCAAAAAAAAAATATTGGAAATTTTTGTTTCTTGTCTTTTATTTACATAATAAACACAATTATTTATAAAACAGCAATGAAAGCTAGTTTTTTATTTATAATAAAACATACATATTAATAGCTTGCTTTTATTATAAATAATAAAGCTTTAAATAAATAAGCATGCATTCTTTGTTGACTTTTAAGAATTAAATTTCCATCACCACTGGAAAAGAGCTTGGTTTTCTATCTAATCTATAAATATATTAGTTAAGTAATATATTATTCAATTGGTTAAATTAAAAAAATCATGTCTAACATTACACTCTTTAAAATTTATAAATAAAAAAAATAAATAATTAAGTTTTAAAAAATGTTGTCCTATCATAAATGTCAATCTTCAATATTACATTTTTATACAGTTTAAATAATTGAGAGTAACCATGCATTGATAAAATAATTTAAAAAAATGATAAATAATTCATCCATGATTACAAATTATAAGTTTTATATTGATAAATTAATATTATATATAAATTATATATTTGTATATATTAAATATAAATGAAGCATCAAATATCAAAGGTTTTAAAATAATAATTTCTATATTCTGAGATTATTAAAATAAATTTATGTAGTGTACACCCTTAATGAAATTTAATCAAAAGAAATAAAAAAAAATTTTCAATCAAATTGAATATTTAGGAATTAAAAAAAATTTATTTTCATCTAAGAGAGCATTATTTATTATGAAATGTTTCTTATTTCCATTCAATATAGTTAAAATTTAAGTGAATATGTATTATATTAATATACATAAATGATATTTGAAAACATCATATTTAATTAATTCATATAAATATATTAGTAGTTTTACAAAAAAAAATTTAATAAAACTTACCCTCAATTTCAGTACGTTTAGAACCTCCTTTCACACGACGACGTCTACGTTTTTTTTTAGTTGAAGAATTTGATTCATTATCATCAGGAGTAACTTCTATGGTGTCTTGTGCTTCCATCATTACTGAATCATCATTGCGTTGATATAAAGGATTTCTTATAGTGACCATACCACCATGTCTTTGGATAATTACTGGCAATGGTAAAGAAGATCGTGATAAACTAGATGGTACTTGTCCAGATACAATTTTATTTTCATTGCTGTGAGTATCTCTAATAAATGATTGATTAATTATAGTAACGCCTGGCTGAATATTTTCAGTATTAGTTTCATCTGTAGTAGACCCATTTTTTTTACGACGCCTGTTTCGTTTGTTATTAGAACCACCATTGATTTCTATAAATATTACAATTAATTAAAAAAATATAGAAAATAATAAAATCAATGAATAATTAAAACTAAATAATTTAAAATTAATATTGAGACACAATAAATTGTTTCAGATATTTTTCAAGAAGATTGGTTAACTTATAAATTACATAAAGGATTTTATAACTTGCAAACAAAGAACAATATTTTGTGTTCTAATTATTAAAAATCATTATTCATTAGGTCCAGTAGTGCAATCAGTCAAGAGATAGGACCCACCCAACCAGAAATGATTGGTGATTAAAACAACCTCAATAAAAAAGTAAAAACTACAACTGTTGTCATATCATCAATACCGAATCAATAAAAACTAAAACAAAAACAGTATAAGACCGTACCACTTATTTTTTGGTTACACTATCAATTTGGTCATTTGAGAAAAATCATAAGTCACATTTATCAAATATTAGGGAAATAAGTAAAATCATAATGGTTGTCTTATATGTGACAGAAAAAACTACATGTTATTTTTACAGTATTTTATATTAAAATTATTATGGACAAAAATTATAACTAATGTACCTTAAATCTAAAAGGACTGATCTCCAAAAATGGAAAACAATTTTTTTTTATTTTAAATAACTACTATAGAGCTCTTAAGTATGATAGCAACACGATTTAAATTTCCTTAAGTAGAATACTATTTTAAGAAATAACTCAAATGATATTACCAATATACTTATAGATTATCTACAGTAGTTTAGTTAACTTTTGTTTACCATACGACTATTCCAAAGAGTATTTTTCTAATTTTAAAAGCTTAACAATTAATTTTTGAAATATTTATAACTTTATACTAATAGAACATTATATTTATTAGTCATTATAAATTAATTTCATAGAAAAGTTGATTCCCTTGAGTTGTTTTATTAATTCAAAACTTCAAAGAGTTGATTAAATTTAAAAACAATTATTGTTTTTTGTAAAAATATTTTCTGATTTTATGTGGTATTAACATTTTTTTAGATTGTAACTTACCTTTTTTCTCAAATGACTGGTTCAATTTTAATTAATATAAATCAATACCTGTAGATTCCTCACTGTTATATCCATCAGTTTTTACAACAATAACATTATTATGATTATTTTTTTGCAGGTCAAATGGATTCACAGAAGTTGGCTCAGATGAAAATTGTAATGATTTAGGCTATAAGAAAATAAACTTATTTTATAGACAAATTTTTTTTATTTTTAGTTCAACATTATAATCTTATAAAAATAAAATTTTTTGATAAAATAAAATGGCAACTTCATTTTTAAAACTTTTAAAGAAAAATAAAAAATAGATATTGCAATATAAAAGTTTACCAAACAAATATGAAAACTATTAGTATTGAAAAGACTGATAGTTGAAATATTCTTTATTTTACTTAATGATAATCATATTTTTTTCTATAATTTGATATTAATGAAAAATTGGTACCATGTTATTGATACCAATTATTAAATCATTGTTAACTTACTTTTTCAATTGATTGTTGGATATCTCTAGGTGGTTTGTAATCACTAGGATCAAGTTTAGTTATGGTGATTCCAGGGGGTAGCTGTAGCTTTTCAATATCGATAGGTGTAGAAGATGAAGAAATCTTATTAACAGCCTCATTAATTTGAATGGCAGTAGGACTAGTTAATGGTAAAGGTTGTGATGGTATTGGTGATGGTCGAGTAAATAATTGAGTGGTATTATTTCTTTTAATGAGAACTGTATTTTGTTGAGATTGAGATGGATTAATATTGTTTGTGACTGGTGTAATATTAACATCTGGAGAACAATACCAATTCATATTTGAAGGTAATTTTGGGGCATTTGTATTTGTAATTATTACACTCTCGGCTGGAGGACATTGTGTTTGATGTTCATTTTTTTCAATTTGTTTTTTTTTACGATTTCTAGTTCTTTTTTTTATTAATTTTTCTTCAGTTTGGTTATGTGATTGTTTACCTTGATCACAAAGCCGTTGAATGGTTTTTATAGCTATTTCATGAAAAAAAAAATATATATATATATATTAAAAAACTAAAAAATAGTTTTTGTTTTTTATTTTGAAAAATAACACAAAAAAGAACAAATTAAGGAATTGTTTTTCTTCTAACTTTCCTTGTTTGATATACAAGTGACATTAAATAGATGAATGAATTCATAGATTTCATTTCTATATTTTTTATGGGAAGCTATCTTTAACTTTTAATAACTCTTGTTATAAAACTAAATATATTTTATTTTACCAAAGAATCTTTTTTAATAAAAAAAAATATTATCTATTTTTTTATATAAAGATAGTGCCTCATAAGAAATGTATGGATTTCACATGAAAATAGAACCTGTGACATTACAAGTCTATTTAATGACAGCTGTAGATCAAAAAAACGGTAGCACAGTGGGGTCGCGGCATAGTAGAGACATTGCATAGTAGGGTCCAGTATAGATTTAATCTGACAGTGATTAAAATCACTATCATAAGAAACGCTTCGATGCAAATCTGTAGATAGTGTTTAATTTTAAAAAATTGATGGATAATTGCAAAAGCAACATCAACTTCTATTAAAATAAAATACAAAACCCATAATTATCATACAAAAATAGTATATTTTTCAATATGGTAGCCATTTGCG